TCCGTCATGAAAAACCCGGAAAACATAAGGCGTTACGTTGAATACGTGAGATTCTACGGTGTTCCGCAGAGATTGCAGCTGCAAATACTTACAGAAAATACACCCGTTATCAAAGTGGAGCCTGCCAATTAAATGCTCCATTATTCTTCGAGTACAAACTCCTTATTTCGTACCTAAGCTCTAATTTGCATTGCCAAAAATGAAGTTCGGTGGGGATGTCAAAAGTTGACCAACAGCTGTCTTCGTATGATTTCGCTGATTGTGACCGTGTGATTTTCAGACTATGGGCTTAAGTATTAATGTGATCTTCGGTGTTAAACTTTATGGATATATTGTGTGAGAAATTGTGTAAACTTTTGTTATGTTGTTATAATTTTGAAGTGGCTTATTGATTTTAAGTGTGAATCTAGCTCTAGTGTCCATGAAGCCTTCTACTTACTTCTTTCGTCTAATTATTTTGTAAGTCTTCTAAATGTGGCTCTTTATTAGATGTACATATAAAAAAAATATGGAAACATATAAAAAAGATCTCGACTGTCCTTTAGAGTTACGTAAATAATTATATTTCATAGATTTAAGTCTAAGACTCTTCTTATTGACCTGAATGCGTTATATTTAATAATGTTTTATTTTGACAAGGCATCCAAAATTAGCAACACTGCTTGTATTATGTATAAAATACAACAGGAACAAAAAATAACAAATCTGTGTTTCTTGCCGGTTCTCTTCTCGGTAGTCTCTCGTCGTAAGTTTATATAACAGCCTAGACTGAAAAAACTTATATATAAGTAATTCATTTGGATTGATGTAATCTCTCCAATTAATATAGAGGAATTTCTTTGATGGTCTTCTTGGAGAAGAAACTTTCGAAGACTAGGTTGTAAAAAAGCCTTTTAAAATGACTTCAGAACATCAATGATTTACTAAGTGAGTCAATTGAGTTATAGAATTTCTTAATGATATTTAGTGTTTGACTTGGAAGTTTTGTTAGGGATACATTATTTCCCTTGCGGGGTCCGTAAACCATTAAAAAAAGTATCACCACGAGACATTAGCTAAAGATATACATATTAATTAATGAATCTCGTATAAATAGTACCAAGGTTGCTATCTGAAAAGAAAAGAGACCATAGATTATTATAGTAGAGGCTAATTCGTTGCATTGGCTTAAAAATATTACACTTTTCTATAAATACTTTGATTCGAATGCTAACGCATGTTAAGTTAGAAAAGAAGCAATAAACTATTAAATTTACTACATTTCCCGAATTTATCAAACCCGTTTCGATGAAGCAAATATTTGATAAATTCAAAGCTTACGCTGTGTAATTTTATATTCTATTGCTTATTTTTAAACCTGCGTCAATATTGAATAGAAATATGATCCTTGTATCAGTGGCGCCTTATTGTGAAGTGTTTATTGCAAATTGTATTATAATCATAACAAAAATAATTATGTTAAAAGCGCTTATTGTAACTTCTACTATAATCGTCTCTGAACGAAGTTGGTATAGCAACTATGTTTTTATAGCTATAACTTTTTCCCAGTCCAGCCCCCCCTAGCATGAGCACCGCGATATGACATACAGCAGGTTTTTATCACGCGCAATTGTCAAATTACTAAGGGTTTGGACAGTTCGACACGATAAAAAACTTGATAAAGGATGTATTCCGTAATATAGGTATACCAGTATACTGGCCAGTGCTAATGACGTCATGAATCAACGCTATACTGGTGAATTGTTCCGAAATATACTGGCCAGTGCACTGACATCATAAATCGACGAAATATTAAAATAGTGCGAATAAAGAAGATTTTTTATTCACCTCATCAATTAAAAGGAATTCTTTTTGTTCGGATGCCATTATTGTTCTTTGCATAAAAAAGAAATAAAATTCGAATGCATCTCACGCTCGGTCACACGTCATATTCGTTTTCCCGGTAAAAATATGGTAGCATACCAGTACAATATGGCGTCGGATTCGTGACGTCATTACCACTGGCCAGTATACTGATGTATATATCGGAATACACCCAAAATTTATAATGCTCATGCTACAGGGACAGCGTGGGACATGATACATTGTTAGTCATCTTAAAAGCAATATTTTAAAATGCAGTGTCTTAAGTGAAAAGTTGTGGTACGTAAGCTGTTGTGGTAGTGAGAGGCTGTTAAAGTTAAGATTTAAGTTCTTCGTACCATTTGGTTAGTTGTCATGTTCTCAGTGAAACTGTGACGTTAGTTTTCAATTATTTATTGCATAATTGAATCCTAAGTAAAAAGTAACATGAGTTATCTTTAATAATTATCTTTTTCAACATGCAACATAATATGATTGGCAAACAAAGAATAAGAAAAACAAACATTGATTGTTTAAGCTCGAACCAATTGTTTACAATTTGCTTAATTTATTTAATCCATATAACAAATTGTTATGTTGAAGTTATCACTGCCGATTTTAAGTCACTAATATTAATATTATAAAAAATGGTACGAAGGCTATATTGAATGGTTTAAAATACTCTTAAACTTATCATTAAGCTAGTTTCGAGTAATTAAGATTAGTTTCAGATACTGTCATTTTTTAGTTTCATCACTTATCCAGTGACGGACGACTTAATTAAATTATGTGTCATTCATAAATAAAAAATGTAACGGATTTATGTTGTTGTTTGTTGCAAATTTCTTTAATTTTTTATTTGATACAATGAAGGTTTAATCACAAAAATGTGGTATCCTTTTGAAGTATAATGAACGCACATTGGGAGTAAAATTAGCACACAAAATAAATATACTTACGTAAATGTTCTGATAAGTATTCATACTTACCTAAATAAATGAACCTTGTTACGATTAATATTAATAAATATTAATTTAAAGGTATAATATTATTATTTTACCTTTTTTCCTAATCCCAATATAATGCGACGTTATATTTTTCATTTTTATCTGGACAGACTATATAAAGAATAATAAATTGTCTGTCTTATCTTAATTCTCTTTGCAACAGCATCCTTTAAATATTGGCGCTTCAAAAGCTTTCTTTTTTTCAATACGTTAAAAGTAAAGCGACATTTCTGGACTAACCATTACTCTATATTTTTATTAATAATAGATATAATTTATATTCTATAGGCAAATTTTGTATTTATTTCTTATTATTTGCACTAAGAAAAAAACACAAAATTATAATTTTGTGACTAAATATAAAACAAAACAATATCTTAAAAGATGTAAGTATTTAAAACTTTAACTTCTCCCATCTAAAGAAAATAACATACCTAAACAGTGAAATTTCACTTTTAGAGATCTCTGAAGACTGTTGTGGCTAAATGCATTTATTAATTATATAGATGACTTTAAGTATAATTAATTTATACCTAAAGCACATATCTATCTACCTAAAACTGTGTTCATTTTTATTATTCTACACATAAGTATTACTACTGCATTGTTTAATTTATTGTTTTATTATGATCATAAATACTATTCTAGGTTTTAATAGGTATTACGTTTTACATAATGATGCTAAAAAATACTTATATGTTTAAAATCTTTTAGGCTTTTCAATATTTTATAGGTAACTCCTTCATCAAAGTCTCATAAGTGAAACTTGAAATCCTACATTTCCAGTAGAATTTACTTCATTGAGGACCTACCTATAACTTGGATGTCATCATATTAATCAAGTCCAAAATGAGTGATATTACTAATTTTGTTGTGATTGAAATAATAAAATTTTGAATAAATATGTGTCCAAGGATCGGACAATATCAATCAAGAGCAAGCATCAGTGATACTTAAGTATTATTCAGTGATACTTGTTTATTACGCAGTGCTACCCTCGCGTGTTGTTATTACTTAGGTATATACCTACGTTTAAAACTAGATTTGATTTGTGGATAATAGCTGATAAGAACTTTTTTTTTAAATAAACTAGTCTTTCTTCAATATATCCATTGTTTCATTAATCCCATACCTAATATATTATCTACTAGGTTAATTGTACACATACATAATGGTTTAAAAAATAGCTGAGTTATAATATTACTTATTGTAAATGAAAAAGTTACCCTTGTATCTCTCTGAAATACTTTCACGCCTAAATTGCTGAACCGTATTTCATAATCATTTGGTATGGAGGTAAGAGGGAACATGGAGAAAGACATAGACACAATAGACTACTGCTCTTTGCTACGAAAATAAAACTTCAAAGCAAGGAAGGTTTGTGTCATCGTCATTATCAACAATCTATAAATGTCTCCACGACTGCTGGCCTAGGGCACAGGCCTTCTAATTCCCTGTGGTCGGAATTGGAAAAACAGGCAAACATGCGCGCCCAGAGCGGATAAGTGGGTGCCAACCACTGCACGAATGGAGGTGCAGTCGGGACCAATTGGATAAAGTGCTTACTACTACTTTTAGTGGAACTTATAGTAGGGGAGCCCAAGCGGGGATTTTTGGATTTACAATTTTATTTTTTATTTCATCTTGACCGAACGTCCAGGGCAGCAATTAAAAAATTACAGCAAAAGGCCATCACCAATAAATCGGCAAATCGTCAGTCGTAGCCTAGGAGCTCCTGGAAAAAAATTCACCGCTTGGGCTCCTCTACTATTATGGCGTGATAACATTTGGTCGCTAGCCCGAATACGAGTGCACATGGAATTAGGGTAAACGACTAAGTGTAAATGAACGGAGGTGAGTACGCCCGTATTCGGGTAAGTTTTGTTTTAGTTTTACCCAACACCGTCTTCCAGCCTGTATTCCGCCCGAATTCGAGTAATGTCCTTCGTGCACCCGTGCTTCATTGTGGAATTGATTGTGGATGTCTATTTAAATGACGATTTGCAGTTTTTAATATTAATATTAGCGACATCTAGTGTCGCGTAGCAGAACAAGTTTTTCATTTACCGACATCTATTAGAGAATAGTAGTGTTTTTAAGCGGTGTCCACACTGACACTCTGAGCGATTATGTTTGGTGCAAAGAAAATATTAAAGACAAAGCTGTATGTAATAAAAATTCTTTGACTTCTATATAAGAGAATATATACTTCTAACAACCCAATGCAGTGTTGCCATATATGCGGATTTGTCCGTATCCTTACGAGATTTTAACATTTAAACCGGATAATAAGAGCATTCGGATTTTTATACGGAATTGTCAGGAAAATGCAAACAGTAGTTTATTAATAAATCTAATCCCAATAAAATGATTTAAATTAAATGAAATAATACACATTATTTAATCCAGCTGCAATACCATTGATTTTGTATTTTTCGGCGAATTTAGCAAAAATCAGGCAAATTCACTGATAAAGATACAGAATATGGATTTAGGGAAACCGCTTGAAATTTTTTGCTTGCTGGAGACAACCTGAGCAAGAAAAAGTTTAAAATCAGGTATAGTGATATTTACTATTTTGTTTAGGTATAAATTGAATCATTGACTTAATTTTGCATAATCATTATATCATTATACGAAGAAGACGTTATTACACCCAAGCAAGGCAAGCGATGTTTCAGCCTAAGAATTGATTAAAAATGACTCATTTTATATGTAAATTGATTGTAAATCATTTTTATTTTATAATTTCATTAATTAAATATTGATAAGTATAAACATTACTAAGAATACAAAATTAAGTATTGTTTAAGATTATTTCTTCTAAAACAACGAATTTCTCGCAAAAATTGTTCTTGAAGTGCTCTAAATGATATCAATCAAAGGCAGTAGTAGATAAAGTAACGCTGTAGGTTCAATTTTTATATACGGATTTCATACGGATTTTGCAATGAAAATTACGGTAACACAGATTTAAAATCTGGCACTGGCAGGCAACACTGATCCAATGTTTTTTTTTTACAGAAAGTAAACAAAAATCAATGATTTATTTTTGAATTCTTTTAAATAAAAGATCATAATAAAAGGCAAAGGAAAAAATGAAAGCATTAATACAACGGGTTATGAATGCTAATGTGGCGGGTATGTGCAATATCCCTATTTTTTAAATTCCAATTTAACTGCTTGGGGTCCGCATAGGCAGTATTTATGCGGGCTATTTAACAATCTTCATATTAATAACAAAAAAATTCAAGTTTGATGTGGCCTAGTGCTAAAAGGGCCGAAGTACGTTTTTGTTGCAGTGTGCAAAAAATATTAATCTCAAGCAAATAACAATCTGCTAAGATATTTTTACTTTTTGGTAACTGGAAATGTTCTGTTGTACATGTCATAATGCTTTGTAGTTTCTTTTTTGTGAACAGTGAATGGCGAGGTCATCAGCAGTATTGACCAGGGTTTGTGTGTGCTTATTGGCATATCACGAAATGACACAATAAAAGACATGGAATATATGTAAGTGTTTGCAACAAAACTCTTTTCTTAAATTGAAACTTATTACATTGCTATATTTTTTTTTCTTGCATCTTTACCATGTTGCATTATGTTTTAAATTGTTATTTAAATATTCAGACCTTTTTAACAAGCATCTTTGGTTCAGTGGTAGAAAGCTTGCTTGCTGTGCAATCTGACTGGGTTCAATTCCCATTTGTGGAAGGACTTTTTTTAAATAATTTTAAAAGTTTTGCATTGTGATTTCATAAACCGGACAAATTTTAATGTTATTTTTTTATCTGCTGATTTGTGAAGTCCCTATTTAAATCTCGGCCCCATTTGTTCTATTTCTTTGGTTAAATTTAGACTAGTGCTGATATTCTATCAATATTTAAATGTCTTGATTTTTGACAGTGTTCGTAAGCTTTTGAATGTAAGGCTGTTTGATGATGACTCAAATGCGAAATGGAAGAAGACTGTTGTAGAAAAACAGTTTGAATTACTCTGTGTTAGTCAATTTACTCTTTACAATACATGGAAGGTTTGTATTTTTTTTTAACAACTATTCTTTTAGACCACTTTGCACAAATCCTATAATTATTTATAGTTTACATAATTTTTAAATGTTTTTAACTATAGGGAAACAAACCTGACTTCCATAATGCTATGTCTGCTGATAAATCAAAAGAATTCTATGAAAAATTCTTACAAATGTTAAAGGATGCTTATGAACCTGACAAAATTAAAGGTAAAATAACCTATCATGTTTTTGTATATTTTATGACATATTACATGTACCAACATTCATTTACAGTATCTATAGCCCAAAAATTTTTATTGACTTTACTGTGACTGACAATCTATTTGTCCATAATATAAAAAAATATTTTTATTTACAGATGGTCAGTTTGGTGCTTATATGCAAGTTTCAATTCAAAACGACGGTCCAGTTACTCTGGAAATAGAATCTCCTTGCAGTCCCAGTAAAGGCAAGAGCAGAAACGGGGTGCAAGAGGTCCCACAAGTTGACATTAGTACAGAAGACGATTTCAAGAGTTAAATAAGTATTGTTGTATTTACTATAGGTATATACTTAGTAGGTATTGTTAAAACTTCTTTGTAAATATTGTTTTCTATGCTGTTCTACATTGTTGAAATAATGTATAGTAATTGACAATCTAGTATTTTTTTGTTAAATAATTTATAGTTATTTAGTAAGACGTGTGATATTTTCCTGTCATGATATGAATATTATTGTATGAAGACTAGTCGGTACTATTAGTGGACTGCAATGCCAATTTGACTGAAAAATTACTTACATATATCAAAAAAGTTTTTTTAGAAATATTTACATTTACTAGTCTAAGGCCCGTATCATAGAAAGATTCTCAGTGATTGATCTAGTCTTCGGCATAGTTAGAAAAGGATGCCGCTATATATAGCATATAGCGACATCCCTTTCTAACTGTACTCAAGTAAAGATCAACACTTAGTTGTCATTCTGTAATACGGGCCTTAGTCTTAGTACGGCGGGCTGTTTCCGCAACTCGACACCCAGTGCCTATTTTGCGTGGGAATTGGCATCAGTCCTGCCATCCCAGCTCCTCCAGAAAGCTCAGCAGTCCCCGGATGTTGCTGCAGGACTCTACTATTGTCCTCGGGATTCTCATTAGAGTCCTTTGTCTTGCAACGCCCCTGCACACCAGTCGAACATGGGCGCTCGTCTTCTCCTCCTCCAGACAGGCTCTGCACAGAGTGCTGTCAGAAATACCTGTATTACAAAGGTGTTTTGTTTAAGTAGCGGTGACCCGTGAGTATAACCACGATTTGTTTAAGGGCTTGTCTAGGTAGTCTGATTAACTTACATGTTAGCTGCAGGTTTACCTTAGGAACAGCTTCCCTAGCTTGCCTACAGTCCGTGAGTTTTGCCCAGTATTCGTCGTGTTGTCATTGACAGCGCTCCCTTATCCAGATTATTAAATATTTTTTCATTTTTATAAAGATTTTGATTTCTTTTTAGATTCAGCGGTGAATTTATAGGAACTGCCACCCAAAATGATTGTTTTAGAGACCCTCACAACAGTCTTTGGAGCGACCTCGTCGAAGCTCAAAAGACGCTAGTGTGGGGGGGGGGGTCTGTTAACCTAAAGTAACCGTGTACCAAATGGCAGTCCTGTACATCGATTTGTGGTTTTTATATCCTAGCTCAACCACTACTACTGAAGTTCAACAATGTACAACAGAATTGAGATTTTACTGATATTGTATAAAAATATTTTGCTCGCAACTGTTCCAAGACAAGTAGATCGCAATAAATTGTCATTATAAGGATTTATGCCTTTCATTTAAGTAAATTCTAGTGTAACATTTGGCACCAATTACAACAAAATGTTGAACAAAATGCTTTGAAAACAAATTCGTCATTATCTGCTTCTTAGAATCTATGATGATGTGTAAGGGTAGCTAAACACATAATCGGGCAGTCATTAATCGGCACAGCCGGGCGGTATAATCGAATATATGTTCGACTAATATTGCCGAACTCAGTTGCCGACGCCCGATTATGTGTACTTATTGCTCTAAGTGGAGGAAATAGTTAACTGCCAAGAGGGTCTAGATATAATTTGTTTGCGACGAGAACCTCCAGAACGAATCTAGGCTTATTTTCTCCCATAAATAGAATGCTCACTCAGTACAATTCACTGTCAAACTCGAGCGATATGGACGTATACACTGAAGAGAATAAAATCTTATGTTTGGTTGTGCCCACATAGTTTTTTCATTAATTTATTTTACATTTATTTATTTTTCATAAATTTATTTTATTGCTGTTGTTCAATTATTGACAATTTAAAATTTTATTTTTATTCATAATTGCTTTGTATTGAAATTAATGTAATTGTCAAAATTTTATAAGATTTAATTGCTAGTTAAGTGTAAATTGCATATCGTAATCGTCTAATTAAAGTTCCACTAATAAAGTGTCGTACTATAAATGTGTAAATAAGAAATGTCTAAGTGTAACTTTGTTGGTGATCCAATTAAATAAATAAAATAAATAATAAATAGGTATGCAGTAGAGGTGCTCTATTTAATGTAGTCACTATCAATGTAGCACTGACGTCACTAGTCAATCGTTCTAGCCACTCAACACCAGAGGCGCTGATATCAGTTCGACTCTAAGGGGGACAACAACAAATAAGGGGGAACAAGGAATAAGCTTAGACTAGTTGCGCCGTGTTTTGTTAATATCACTTAAGTGCCATTTATTTTGTCATTCAATGAACAGAGACAAAACATAGAGTAACTAATCCAAGTTTAGTCTTCGTTTAATAATAAGGGGGTACGAGTTTAAAGACTATTAGCAGCTTTGACTACTTATTGTTAGCGTTCAAATTTTCAACGAGCTGCGTGATGACAGATGCTAGACGATAGCTTAGCTAGTAGTTTTTGACACGTATCAAAGGGATTTTGTTAGAGGGCGATTAATTTGTATCTGCAGGTGAAGGAGTATACAAACACGCATTAGCGAGATAAAAAGTCAATACGTCGTCGCGCAGGTCGCAAAACCACGAAAGAGTTGGTTAACATCGTGAATAATTGTCAGGTACATAATAAATAAATCTATATATATAAAAATCAATTGTTGTTCGTTAGTCTCGCTAAAACTCGAGAATGGCTAAGTGGATTTATCTTATCTTGTTCTTGAAATGTTAGTGGAGGTCTAGGGAAGGTTGAAAAGGCGAGGCAGATAGTAAAAACGTCAATTTAATTTTCCCATATAAACTGTTCTATCTTCTTTCCTGTCAAACATTTGATGTTCGTCCCTTTTGGTACGATAGACTCAGGTCCGTCATTTCTTCAAAATTATTTTAACCCGTACGAAGTACGAGGGGTCAATTGGTAATAAATAAATATTTCCAACACTTACACCAATTAGCCTAGCCCCAAAGTAAGCACTGTAGGCTTGTGGGATACTAGAGTAACGGATAGAATACTGATATATATTTATATAAACATCCATGATTAATGCTCGGGGTACAAATGCTCGTATTCATCACACAAACATCTGCCCCCACCGGGATTCGAACCCGAGGACCATTCGGGACCTCTCGAGTAGGTCGACCTTCAAACCCAGCTTACATACCACTCGGCCGCGGAGGTCGTCAGTCGACATACATTGGTAGTCCGTAATAGTAGAGTAGGTCCGTAATAGTAACCTATGTTTTTCTGTTGGTATTATAATAAATAATATAATATAAGGTATCTAGTATGATCGACCTCCTGAAAAACCCAATGCTCATCAATTTCTGTGTAAGAAAAACCATTGCTGCCATTTCCAAACATTGGAGAAAGGCCACGCTTTTGAATTTGGCGTTTTAATTTAGTTTTGTTGCCAATCGTCCGGTTAATTTTGTACTGATTAACACTATGGCCACTCGAACCTGAGGGGGTCGGCTCAACTAGAGGGCGTCTTTGAGACTCGGACCTGGGCTCTAGTTAGCCGTTGTCATCGGGGGCGGGGAAAAACGACCAGGTACGTATCTGTAGGTACCTGGTATAGCGGTCGAGTGTAGACCGGGTCTTCGCACTCTTATCCTACGGTTGCGGCGTCTGGCCAATGCTAAGCTAGTGTGTAAGTTTGTTAGCTGTGTAATGTTGGTGTTTGTGGCCTGTGTGGGAGGAGTTGGAGGCGCATTTGCGCGGGTGATTTCGACATCGGTCTAAGACGTGCTTAGGCCGACGGAATTGGAGGGAATGAGTGGACTAAGGACTGGTTGCTTTATATTTTTCTTCCTTTTTTATAATGTCTGTCTGTCCGCCCTTGACGACTCTCTTGATGCAAGTCTTGGCGCCACGACAGCCAGCCGCCCCCTTGGTCCTTGCGCCCTAGCCTTCAGCCTTATTAGCCTGTGGGTAAATCAGGCCCTGCGTGGAGCTCTGACACATTTGTGGTCATCTGTTAGGTTTTTTAAATTATAATTTGCAATCTTTGGATTATGAGCAAATCTGCTAAGCGCAACCAAACGTTACAGGAGTGGTCATCCAGCCCCACCACTTCCTTTAAAAACATTCTTCCTCTTCAGTCCCGATACACGGTCAGCTTGTTGAAGTAATTGGGTTATAAGGTGATTAGGATGGTTTGAGAGTCGCTCAGTGTACCACGGTTTGCACTAGTCTATCTTCTCGGCGACAGTGGGCATATTCAATGAAATTCGTCATTTTTTGTGAACTATATTGAATTTACTATTGTTCTGAGAATATTACAAGTATTGTTGTTTTTGCTAGCAGTGCTTACAACTGGATCCCATATTATGTTCAAACTGGTTTAATAACGAAGTTGTATATGTAATCTTGTTGTCAATTAACGGGGCAGAGTTGCGGTTTATGAACCGCCAAAGAAGGTTTCTATATTTTATATTGACCTCATCTCGATTTTTCTTTATATGCTGCTTCCAGGTGAGTCTCATATCCAAATGGTAACCAAGATATTTGACGCAATCTGAGTATGTCCGAACCAAGACGAATAGAAAAGCAGTTTCCATTCCTTAGGGCTCACACACAAAACTGCGATGCGATGCAATGCGACGTAGCATAATGCCATGGATCGCAAAAACATTGTTGCACTGCTGTTATTGTTAAATAGATATAGAAGAAAAAAAAGATATTGGGTTCATACATTTATTACCTACCAAATTTACTTGAAAATACAATGGTTTGAGAACAGAAGTTTTTTTTTTTATTTTTACATTTGAAGAGCGATAACTAAAAATGATGAGCGATGATCGTACAAGGGAAGTCTCAGAGCGGACTAAAATGGTGTCACCAAGTGTGATATGATATCACAGAAATGTGCATTGTGAATCAGATCGGAAGTTCGTGCGAGCGCAGATATTTGCAATGCGATGTGAATTCGCAATTGTGCAAACCGCAAACGTGATGTGGTTTATGGCCACTTAATCAAATACGCCATTTTTTCAGCCATCTAGCGATTGAGTTTGATTTATAGGTTCTGTAGCTTGGCACTAGCTGCCTCGGGATTACTATCGTAGGGAAAATATGCCAGCAGTGGGAAGATCGTATGTAAATATGTTATACAGAACCTACCGAAGTACCAATCCTTGCGGGACACCAGCCTCTACAGCTTGCAAGGAAGATCGTGAGTCACCGACCTTAACCCTGAAGTATCTTTGAGACAGGTACGATGCCATTATGGGGTAAACCGAGTGTGACAGATTCTTTTTTACCTTGTACAAGAGTATTATACATTTTTGTGTAGTGGGCTTTTTTAATACCTAATTGATGGGTAGGGATGAGGCCACTGTTTTTGTGAGGCCACTGTGTTATCCGTGCAAAATTTTTAGGCATGTATGAAAAAACTTTTCGACAGTTTAGAGAAGGCGTCAAGCTAATGAGTTGTCTGTAGGAAGGCTCATGTTAAGGTTTTCCTAGTTTGTGAATCATGATGGCTTCAGAGATCTATATGGCTGGGAGACAAGATGTCCTAAAAATATGGCGAGAAACAGACATGCCAGCAAGGTGATATATTTTATAGGGAGTTTTTTTAGGACCCGTGGTGAAATGAGGTTTAAACCAGGAGCCTTTTTGGAATCGAGTTATTTATTTTTTCTTGCAATTTCTTTTGGGGAGGCATGGGTTAGGGGCAGGCATAGCTGGAGGTCTGGACCAAGCACCGTTTTTTTTTGTTTAAAAGTTGTGGCAAAATGAGTAGCAAAAACTTCAGCTTTCTTTGCATTTGTTTTTGCTCAACATACGGGGTACTTTTCCAAGCAGATGTTTGAATCACATTTGTGACAAGCACAAAAGCAGCGTCCACATCTTCTTGGAATTTAAGTGGCATCCTTAAGTTAAGATTGTTCTCCAAATAAGAACGAAAGCATTCCCGATCGGTCTTATAATTGTTAAAATGTTCAGGCTGTTTTTCAGACATAATGACAGATGAACTCAATGTTAGTATTACCGGGGTATGAGCAGCAGGACTTTTTTGACTTTTATAGTGTGTAGCTAAAGAGAAAATTGCATATCCATCGATGCTTTTCAGAACTAGTATCTTAGTGGCGTTATAGGCCTACAAAGCTCCCAGCTAAGCTAGATTCACGCAGGTATATAACTGACTTATGTTCTGTAAGGTGAAGAATACTTTTTCAAAGGCTTTCTTAATGCGCTTTCTTTCACAGGAGACATATTTACATTTGTCGTGTTTTGTCAAAGTATTTATCAAGTCAAACCAAGCGATGAAAAAGTCCACTTTATAATCCAATAATTGCGCATCTTTGATTCTTACAACCTTTACAGAATAACGGCTTTGTACATTATTTAGTCCCTTTTAAATATGGAGGGTATTAAGAAAATGACAACAGCTTTTATAATAAAAAAAAGTTTATTTTGAAGTTATGGATTATTATCTATTAACAGATTTGTTACAGTTAGGCCTGTGATTACACGACTCCATGTTAGGAAGTATTAAAAACGTTTTTACAAAGATGATATGATAGTTTTAGGGGAACGTCACATTCTAAACACAGAAACCACTTACAATAATTATTATTAATCCTAAACCTAACGCACCATGGTCCATGACATTCATCCATTATGTTAACAGATAATCTACCAAAATTCAAATCCATTTTTACACTTTTATCCTAAACAATGTAGAAAATAAAATAAAAAATAAAAGTAATAAACGTGTATAAAGAAAAAATTAAAATAAATGCATATCTATAAAAAACTTCTTTATTTAAATTACGAACATTCGAAAAATTCAACGAACTCAATAGATATATAGATAAATAATAATTTTGAACTATAATAGTGTTAGTGTTAATGTTGTATCAATTAGCCAGTGCCATATGATTACTATTTCTATACCGTGAACTATATAGATAATATAATCACTCCATACTAGATCTAAATTCAACCGTATTACAAATCTGATAATTTCCTTTCGCCCTCCTTCAAGGCACTTTTCGTTTTGGTATATTGCTGATACATTCCTCACACCTCTAATTCTCAATCGATGCGTTAAACACAGTTACAAGTGTGAAAGAGTACATTTTCTCGAGTACTTAATTTAATGTCGTTGGTCTATGCCATCTTAAAACTAGCGTTAGGAATCTATCAAACGCACATAAGATTACAGAGAGCAACTAAACGAGAATAGTCTTTATAATAACTATCGAAATACTATTACAAAAATATCTATAAATCTATTTCTAAATTATTCGAATAAACTGTTACTGGGATAGGCTAAGGATTCAATTAACGAGATAAAATATCATCTGTCTTTAGTGGACGTTACAGTTTGATGGTGCACGTTGCGTAACTAGAATTTAAAATACTACTCGTAATTTAGTAGATTAACAAAATGGTAGTTGAGAAATAAATGCAAAATTTTTAAAAGTATTTTTTCCAATCCAACCGATAATATTATAAATCTCAAAACGGTGATTGAATTTAGAATATTAGCGGTCCGCGCGCGCCAAGAGTTGAGCGACGACTGAGTTGTTTTTGTGGTGCCGTCGAGTGGATACGATGAGTAGTGGGGGTGTGACATGAGCCTACCAGAGGCCGGATGAGAACCCGCCTGGCGGCACGCGGCTGTGGTTGATGATGTGGCTGGTACCATTCACTGACGTCACGGTGTTAATCTGGCCGTTCATCGACTTGTAGCCGTCTCCGGTGATCGGGTTGCCTTCTGGAAAATTCCAACAACATAAATGAGTAAGTGAACCAGTATCCATCTTTAAATCAGATGACTTTTTTCTACTCGTTAACTACTGAAATTAATGGAAATGGTACTCCTATCATGCTTGCTAATGAGTTACTTTAATCAATCTTGTCTCAATATTGAAAGTATAGTCGATGACAACATAACTAATGTCTGCAATTATCTGATTACTTCATTAAAAAAATTAACTACACTCTTGAAAATTTTTGCTTGCAATAATACAACTAGTAAAATATTTCTAGCTACATTAAAATGTATACGAGTAGTAGTAGTAGTAGTAGAAGAAGAAGAAAATCAATATACAATGTACTATATAACAATAAGGAAGAGCGTGCGATTGTAAAAGTACAGAAATATAGATAGGCTGAGAAAATAAACACTGATTACAATTTAAACAACATACAGAATACATTTTACAACAACACAACAAGCATTAACAAATTCAAAAGTTCTGCTTACAATCTTTGAAGTCTAAACTATTTATTAATTTACTATTTTGTACTTAATGTTTTACAAAGCAGCAAATTATAAAACAGTAATGGGTGCTCAATTCAAAACTTGAAGGAATCTTTTTGTAGATTTTTAAAAGCAAATTATAAACGTTGTCAATTGAAATACGGAAGCAAATAATCTGATGTAGTAATATAAAAAAATATTATACATCGGACGGTGCAAAATCGGCATTCCTTCAGTCAATTTGAACACCCACCCATTTCTCTTCGGCGGACATAATCTACATAGTACGTCTTAGGCGTGAAGTCTTCCGCATGCCGACTCAGATCAAAAAGGTACCCTGGGACGTGCTTATGGAATATAGGAGGGAACCCAGTCAATGTATGTGGGCCCGGGAAGAGTTCGGTGGGCAGAGGAGTGACATCAGGAATCGGACCGTCTCGCTCGTATTTGAATAGAGTTGGTGGTGGATTTATATTCGCCATGAGAAACGGATCTATAGGAGCGTCCAAAGTCGGTATAGGGTTATACTTGTAATCAGGTTTAGGTCTTTCGCCGAGAGCGGATGTCATGCCAACGAACGCGTATGGCGGCAAAGGATGGTATGGAATTCTATGATCTCTCGGTTCCAAGTAATGTTGAGCGGGGAACGGTGGCCAATGTCTATCGAGATCCAACTGTGGAGAAAGAGAATCTGGGTCTATAACGAGATGTGTCCTTTCGGGATCGTCGGTTTCCAGGCCGAGAAGCGTGTAAGGAGTGTGTCTAACGTTTGAAGCGGCTTTGGTCGTAGAATCGACGTAGTACTGCGCCGGGAGGGGCGGCCAGTCGCGGGTGAAGTAGCGGTGGGTGGGTTGTGGCTCTAGTTCAGGGTACGGGAGGTCATGATCTGGGTCGTGGGGGTCATAGTGGTCGGCACCTCGCAGGCTGGCGGCCGGGTGGCGGCGGCGCTGCGGTGGCAACAGCACTCCGTCGCCGGTCACCGGATTCCTCTTCGGCGGAGAGTACGATGCTGACCATTCACAGAACAATCGGTTTTCATTCATCCCCCATACATTGGGCTAATGCTTCTCGCTTAAGAATGTCTTTCGAAACAACAACCTTGATAGCACTATTCATAGCGACACGCCCGAATATACTTAATCATAGTCGCTTTTCCTTTCACAAAAATATTAGTAGATATTAAAGTACTTAAAATAATAGTTCACATTCATTAAGTCGTTAATGTTATGAAAATTCTTTTATTGTATTGAAAAAAAAATCTTTTATTGTTAAGTGTATAAGTATTTTCTTTTTTAATTGGGTACATTATGCACAATCATGCGTCAATCAAAGCTAAGCATGGCTTATGCTTCATATTATCACGCAGTCAGTATTGATTGGTGAGAGTGATACTTGATTAATTAATTTATTGTTATAAAACTTATGGTTATAATAGATGTGTTGAGTTGTGTTTAGTTTATTTTGTATTAAGCAGTTTCTTAAAGTGCCAGTGCTATTAATTCCGGGTGCGATCATCAACCTATGGGTACGCAGAATCCACAACAAGTGCTGTAGAAATGAACAGATGTGCTTTGTTCTGGGTTCTGCGTAAGGACATATGGTTCAGACGTTGGATGGATTTCAGTGTTAAGAAGATTAACTACGTTCTACTGTAACTAAACACCTATAAAGTGTAAAAGTGGCAAACAAGATTTTACTTTTATTTTTGGATCTAGTGTTAGGAAACTGGATTTTAATAAAGACCAGTTTAAGATGCTTTTACGTGAATACCCTCAGACTGGTATTCAAATGTATTATTAAGAATTTACGGAAATTTGTTTAAAGATGTATAACGATGATCCATTCAAGAGTCTGTCTTTCCGTCTAACGTTGCCAGTATATAATTTTTTTATTACAGGCAAAGGCTTGTGAATCCATCCAACGATCTAACCACGCACTCGCCACCATCCCAGCCCTATAGTCCTAGCGTTCGAGCGTGCTGCGTGCCTACAAGGGGGTCGACTCACAGTGTTCCACGTGGCCCGTCTCACCTCTGCTGGGCGTCGACATCGCGCTCCCATTCATCTTGGACGGCGAATGGACTGGGCTTCCACCGTTCATGCCGTTTCCGTGAGCGCTGTCACCAAACTGAATCTGGCTGCGGATCGTGTCCGTCACCATGGGAGCCACAGGGCCGTGGTTCGCTGCCTGGAATGTGATAGATTTACACTTACAAACTGTACAATTACTTTAGAATTTTACCTAAATTTCGAAGGATAGAAATAAAGCAGCAACCGTAGATGTAAATAAATAGGAACTTGTAGGGAGCTCTATGATATGGGAATGGAGTAGGATAGGTCATACAATTTTTATAATCTCTTCCGTGTTTCCGAACGCTCTGGTCCCGGTTGCAGCTACGTCACGTTACTACCCACCAATCTACGCTAGACCTACGTAGTGGAGTGGGTGGTCAATTCTGTAAGATCCAAATCCACAGGTAAGATCTATGCCCACCAGTGGTTAACATTATTGATGAAGATATGATACAAATACTATAGATAAGAATCGCCTTAAAGTGGAAGGTGAAAACATGCTGCACCGACTCTTAATGAATGGAAAATAATGGAAACAGGGTAGGAAGTTTAAAAGCAAAATGGTTAATAACTTTTCCATGTCCTGCAATGAATAAGATTGCCAATTCTCCGTAAATGTACTCGAGTGATACGGGCGAGTACCTTTATGGATCTTCTACGTTTGAAGCGTTTCGAGATCGAATTCAACTATTCGAATTCGATATTTGCTTCATGCTAATGGTACAGATAACCTATTTAGACATGATAATCGACCATTGAGGATTGAGGAGCTCGATAGCACAAGTGATTAGCGCGTTCGGCTGCGATATTTGAAGTTAAGAAACTTTTGCAGTGGTCGGTCATTGGATGAGTGACCAAAATCTCGAGTTAATTCGTTGGTCCCGGTTGCATCTGCAGTCGTTAGCACCTACCAATCCACACTGGGCCCGCGTGGTGGGTCATTGGTACAGCCCAATCTCCCTATTCCATCCATAGGGAAGGCCACTGCCCCACCAGTGGAGACACCAATAGGCTGTGATGATGATGATGGATCTACCATTATCGTCTCATACCTGTCCAAAGAGCCTGGAATGGGTGTCGCGCGGGCGGGTGGGAGTGTCGCGTACTACGCGCGGCCGGGATGTACCATTCTTCACCGGGCTGCCGCCGTCGGTCGCATCCGAGCTGAAGATCTCGGCTATGCAGCTCTTCGGGGCGTTCGGTACCCTGGAGAAGAAACAAAGTTCATTATTAATTATGAGGCTTATTTAAACAGTTTTGGCAATCTTTAGAATGAAATACAATGGGAAAACTTCGAAGATTCCAACACAAATTGAAGTGGAGACAGACAAGTTCTTGTATTAGACTGGACCTGATCCTTTTTCAAAGACAGCTACCTTGGAGCATCACTTTTAGACCATACCTATATCTCTCATGATTAAAGCAAATGATTACCTATCGCCTTAAACAAGCAAAACCCCAAACATTCTTCTAATTACGTTAAAAGGTGTTCAACATTAAAATGCACTCGCATTCACCGCAACGTCTACAATCAGGGAGTGGTCATTTCAAAGACCCTTATTCATAACCGGATCGATTTAATCATCAAAATTCGATCGTAGGTGTAGCGACATAAGAAATTTAATACCGTAATGCAAATATGACCCTCGCATGTTTGGCTGGACGCGTGTGGTCATCGTTACCTGAGCTACCTACTTCCGTAGGGGAAGCGGTCAAAATATCATTAGCGCAAAAGCCGAACCGAGATACTAAATAAGTGACAATTCTATCGCCAATAAAAGTAAGTTAACTTTTACCACCCTTCAGAAAAGATACATAATATTATTATTACCATAATATCTTCTATTAGCATAAACGAGTTCTGTCGATTCTCATATTACAAAATGATCAACCCATAGGTTATCTACCCAAGTAATTTCTTTAAAAATAAGTACATTTTGAACTTCATTAGAATAGTAATCCACAATTTTACATACCGTGGCAATCGTAAGCTTCACGGACTAGAGGCAAAAGATGGTAATGAGTTACTATTTTTACATCTGCCGCGGTACTGGAATGACTTTACATCTCGCTATTAGAACATCGGCTGGGAAAATCTTGATATCATAACATCGGGAGCCTAGAAATCTTAAACTTATTAACATATTAAGACCCTCTGGTTTTAAAGATTCCAATATATCTGTGTGTCATAGTCAAAGGTCGATTATACAGCTTCTTCCCGGAATAGTTTATCCTAGGTTTGAGCGAAGCCTTAGGGCAAACCCAGAATATATTCTAATTTTGGCCTTTGACTAAGTCATACCTTGAAGTTCCTTACTCTTCAGTCGAACGTCAAAAGTAAAATAAGCTGTTTTGGACTTTGCCTAGTCGATCCTTGAAGCGACTGACAGACTCGGTCAAACGTTGACTGTATTTTAAACATGATAAAACAAGTGTCTATGGTGTTCCGGAAACAAGTTAATACTTCCTCTGTTAAATTATTTTATCATTTCATGTTTGGAGATTGAGCGTGAGGGTGTGTAATAATAAAGATGAATGAATCAAACAGTGTTGTTACTAAAAACGTGGATGAAAAAGGTTAATAATTTTTAGTTTAAGAAGAAAATCACTAATGTGCTCAAAATTAAATGTTTAATACATTTAACAAATAAACAGATATATGAACAAATTATCAATGAGGTAGAATAAGCTAAAGTAGCTAAAAGGAAACATTTTCAGTGTGCCGTCTTGGACAATGCCATTTTGTGTGTTTTGGGACGAAAATAAATTATTAAGCCATTATCAGATACAAAAAATATACAGTACTACATTACAGACGACGAGTTATTCGATGTGATTGAACGTGCTCTCCTCAAATATGGTCTTGGTGGTAGAGCTCTCACAATTATGACACTCACCATGTATGAAAAAAGACTATTTTCAATTATTAAACTTATGAAAACATAAGTTTTATTACATCCAACAAACTAAAACATTCTTTTGCTTACTTGTAGATTGACTGGTCGGACCCCGATTTCCTTAAATTAAGTTTCGACGTTTGCCTAGCAAAATTAGTTTCTCCTAAGTTTGCGAACATTCTTCAGTCCCAACAGAGGTCGAAAAGTTTGTGCGATTAAAGAGATTTGAGGACTGACTAGTCAAATCTAGGAGCGCCGGAGCTTCCAGGTTTGACTATAACATATGCATATGAAATCGTGGGAATTATTTTAGAAGATAATGAGTTGTCATGTCATACCAACTGTAGCGTTTGCATGATTTAGAATTGCATATTTAATTCAAAGATACTGAATAACTTTTGATATGCACAAATATTTCTTTTTCTCTAGATATTATATTATAGTCAGTTAAGACACCAACTTTTATATTGAGTGAGACAAAGTACGAGAATAACAAAAAAAAAAAACAAAACCTGAAAACAATAAATTTATATCAAGAAAAGTTGTTAAATGAAGAGATTTGATATTCAGTAGCTTTGATTATGAACTACAATTCACAGAACCCTAAGTCACTTTAATAAAGCATCTAGCTTATAATAAAATTCTGAAAGGTGAAGGTACCTTAAACTCGAATGAACTTTCTAAGAAACTAACTGTGCTCTGTAAGCTACCTATCTACTCAACTACAACAATATTTTATAATAGCTCATAATAACATTCACAGAAAACAGACGTCAAATCCCCTCCACTAACCAAAAACGCCGTGACACATGAAATAACAAAATTTGACCTACCGAATAGGGTTGAGACTCAAAACACATTAGTACTGTTTATTTAGTTTAGGGTGAAGAAAACAAACCAATCCTAATAATAAATCTTGATAATACCTAAACCAATAATACACAAGATAAATAATGCTAAATAAGATGTGGATTTGGTGAAATGATACTTTGAGCTCAAACACTTTTGAAATGTAAATAGATAATGGATAAAGTGCATAATTAACCGACTTAAAAAAAGGAGGAGGTTGTGTGTTCGACTCTGTATATATATCTTAATATATATACATCTCGTGTCACAATGTTTGTCCTCAATGGACTCCTAAACCACTGAACCGATTATAATAAGATTCGCACACCATGTGCAGTTCGATCCAACTTGAGAGATAGGATACCTAGTTTAAATCTCAAATTATAGTCGCAATTTTAATTTATTGCATATTATTACTTTTGGGCGGTACGAAGTTCGCCGAGTCAGTTAGTATATATATATATATATATTTATGTATGTTCACCGATTTCTCAGTCAATTGTGGACCGATTTCCAAAATTCTTTTTTTTTTATTCGAAAGAGTGCACTTCCGAGGTGGTCCCATTGGAACCAAGTCAAAACCTTTAAATTTCAAAGGCACGCACGATGTTTTTTTATGCATGTACACCGATTTCTCCGTCAATTGTGTTCTTGTTTACTTGGACGATGCAATTTTCACTAAAATGGATGAAATAAAAAAAAAAACAAAAAATAAATCCGATTCGATTTTGAAATCCGTTTTATTTTTTGTTTAATGATTTTTTTTGGAGAAAATTTGCATTACATCTCTCTAAATATGCTCTAAGTAGATAACTCTTTTGTTACAAATAACGCATAAGTATTTGTAGCCACTAACAAATAATGAGTACTCAACAGAGTATTTCTTTTGTGAGTATCGACGCGTGCGCAATGTGCTTGCATTCGCCTAGGGGCGACTGGGTAAATTGTCCGTCATCAAAACACGATACAAATGTTATAACCGCTGGCATTATGGCTACTTGCAGTGCGTACGAACCTATACTTTAAGTTCATTTTCGTTTACTGCACTTAAGTAGTTGATTTATTTTAATAATCTCTTTCAATGTAAGTTATTTATAAAATAATAAGGTGAGGTTGAGTCTCTACAACATTATACAATACATACGTTTCTCTATTCCACTGCTTTAAAGGGTATTACGTATAAGATTAGCAGTGTGTGATTCCTAATATTAAATAATGAGATTGTGTTTAATAATACTTATAAGTACTTCAAAAGACAGCTCATTTTACCGAGTGTTCTTAGTCAAAACTAACAGCTTTGTGTATTTTAGTTATTAATGTTATTACAAAAATATATTAGATGCACATCACACCATTAGTATTTAAGATCCTTCGTTCGATTTAAAAAATGCTTAAACTAAATATTTTCCTTTATTTATTATTTCCACGTTTTCCTAATTTTACCCACCTAATACTGTGATGACAAACTCAAGCCCGACCAAAGTTCATTGATTCAATTATTAGGGCGACGACTTTTAGGTCTTAAAATATGTAAGGTCAGAGATCACGATGCTGAAAGTTATAGGTCATCTGTGTAAGCTTTAGTATAGAATTGCTAGCAATAAGAAAAAAATTTACGTATATGTAATTCCAAAATTACCTATGAATTCCTTAGTAGTTAGGTAGGTGTTGTAAAATCAGTCCAGTTATTTTCCAATCTCAGTAGTCTAGCTTCTGGATAAAACTCGTATAAGGAATTCTTGAAAGATACGTCCTCGTCGTCTGTATATGTTGGATGGTAAACTCCCAAAACGCACTCGAGATGAGCATACATTTTAATGGTAACCCAGATTTAATAATAGGGAAAGCTTGGTGTTTCTCAGCTTCGTGTTTTTATACTATGAAAGTATTTCAAGTAACAATAAAATTATAACTCTGTTGAATGGTAGGATGACTGATAGATTATTGATACCTATCTACAAAATCTTCTAAGCAAATGAAGTAATAAATGCATAAAAGTTCATTTTTATTATACAGTTGTCCGACTTGAAATCGAACCGAGATACTCGAATGACGTCACTTGAGTAGACGGGTTGCAGAGGTCGATAAATGTTACAGTATTTTGTCATCGTTGCTATTAAACACAAATTGGCGGGCCAGAAGAAAGTGCACCATCGTATAACGTATTGCCTTTCATTTGAAACGAAGAGCAGTTTCTCCTGTCGTTCCGCGTATGATAAAGTTACGCGGTCTCTCATTACCTCAGATATCATTAACGTGCTCTCATTATTCCTGGCATTTGTGGAGCAAAACCGCACGTTGCAGAGGCGTAAAGCCATTAGACGCCCGACTACTTTTGATATCATAAGGATTTGCCGCAAAAAAGCCAGTTCTGGCGAGTGGACTACGGTTCAACGTAGGAGTACTTAAATTTAAGTGTAAGTAACTCTAATACCAACAACACATGATTTACACTGGTTG